GGGGGGGGGGAGGATACTAGAGTGTGCATCTTTATAGAAAGATGAAAGCATGATCAGGTTGGTACCTTATCTGATTTTTTAAAAAGGGGAGACTTGTGTAGGTTTTTTTATGGTACTGGCATATAGTAGGCACTTAATAAATATTTATGGAACTGAATTCTACATTTTAAACATGTAACCTTTTGGTCAGTGCATGTTTATTGACAGCCGCTCTGGGTCAGGCACCCTACTGGACCCTGGTGGACAAAAACAGACCAGCCTTGGCTCACCTGGGCCTTCCACTCAAGGGCAGCATGGGATTCTTATGTCCTCTGGAACAAAGCAAATGGCTTTGCTTTTTATGTGAAATGAATTTGGTAACGAGTTTTTTTATTTGTTTGGCATAACATTAGTAATGTGAACTAATTAGTGGTAGGTTCAGCCTGAATGAAAACATAAATTATAGCACTGCTGCCAGAGGGTATTTTAGGGACACAGTCCTCACAGTTACACCTCAATCAGATGCATTTGGAAAACGTTGCACACTCTCTCCCCTAAGTCACGCACTGTCTTGCTACAGGCTTTGAATAGCCTTGCAGTAAGGAACCTTATTTTTGTTACTCCACCGCCCCTAGCTTACTCCATCCACTGTGGCCCCTGGGGGTATGCCAGCAGTTAGGGTTTGGGGGAAAGCTAAAAGATCATCTTTAGAGAAATTGTTTCCCTGATCACAAGCCTGCCCTGCTGAGCCACATTTGTCTCAAGCAGTTTCTTAGCTTATTAGATGGAGAAACTAGGTCTCAGCCAGCTTCTGAACACTGTTAGTGTGCTTATGTCATTTCTCATGTCGAAATGGGCAGCTTCAGCCCGGAGAATAAATAGTTCTTTCAAAGTAGCAGTCAGAGAATAATGAACTTGACTGTATCTGTAAACTATTTGGTATCTCCCCTCCCGTTCCCTTTGACCACTTTTTCTGTTCAAAAGGATTAAGGAAAGAACAAGATGATTCTGTAACATTTTACATTAGTGGGGCTTCTTATCAACAAAATCCGATATTAGCCACTGAGGTTGATTAAAGGAGAGTTGTACACCTTAGTAGTTTAAATTACTGTCCATACATTTTCTCCTTGTTGATAACTGCCTCCCATAGAGGGTGTTACTCTTTCTACCATTTTACAAAACTGAGCTCGTTCCGGAAAAGCTGAATTCTCTAAAGAAGCAAGACTAGGCACCCAGGTGCCTGGGACTCTGCAGTGGCCGCCCTGCCTGCTAGAGCAGAGCTTACCAGGAACAGCTGCTATGCATCCCAGATAGGATTTGAGTCCCTGCTTTTGAGGAGATTGGGGGAATAACAGCATATATACCTGTTAATATACCAATTATAGAGTTAAAATACCTAGAAAAACCGACTCGAGCATAATACTTTATGACTTAAAAATAAAAGCTGAGCATTGGCCTCTGTGGCTTAGTAGTTAGAGCATCGGCCCACACGCAGAGGGTCTCGGGTTCGATTTCCAGTCAAGGGCAAGTACCTGGGTTGCAGGCCCTGTCCCCACCCCCAGTGGGGCGTGTACAGGAGACAACCAATCATTGTGTGTCTCACATCAGTGCTTCTCTCCCCCCCCCTTTCCAAAATCAATGGAAAAAATATCCTCGGGTGAGGATTTAAAAAATAATAATAAAGAAGATGAAAGTCGAACGTCAGCCTGCCACCTAACTCCTTGTTCATTTCTGCTGTCTCTCTTATTCCCTCCAGAACAGTTCCTCGCAGTGTAGATGAGAAACTTAGGACCTTCTGGAACAAAGTTTATGGGTGGGGGGGAGAAAGTGTGGCCAAGTGTGCTTACGTAATTCGTAGTATTAAGTTCTCTCATGCTTTCATAATTTCATTCTAGAATGTCAAAAAATTTATCCCAAAGTTAATGTTAGCTTATGCGAGCCGCTTAGGTATGAGTTAAAAAATCACTTTTATGCTTAATGATATTTTTGCATGAGTTTTCACATTAAAAACTTTTTTTTTTTAAAGTTAAGATTTTGTTATGTATAGAATTTTAGCATCTTTAGTTAAATTATGTGGGATCTACCTTCTCTCCCCCCCTTTTATTATAACTTTTTGCCATAAAAGTTCTCTTTTTTTTTTTTCCCTAAACTTGGTTTGAAAGACATCAGGACTCCTTTATATTTTTGTTTGAATCTAACGAGCTCAGAAAAGCTATCCCCACTAATAGTGAACATGCACAGATGTGAAGAGTTGCCTGGTGGCTAGAAGGACTCGGCCTGGTAGGGCCAGCGCTCTCCACTTGTGCAACGGAATGTGGGGTTGCTTACTATGGGTATTGTTTGGAAACTGATTTTCTTGCTACTATTTCTTAGGGACACAGCAGGTCAGGAGAGATTCAACAGCATTACCTCAGCTTATTACAGAAGTGCCAAGGGGATCATATTAGTATATGATATTACAAAGAAGGAGACATTTGATGATTTGCCAAAATGGATGAAGATGATTGATAAGGTAAGTGTTGCATTTTTCTCTCAGCTGTGAACTCTTTGCTCGTGGGTATTAATCCTTATAAAAGGAAGGAGAAAACATATTTATGAAGCATGCTTTTACATACTAAAGGTCACTTAATCCATATTACAACATATTAAGTCAGTTTTATTTTAAGGAATAAAACCAGGATTTTTATTGTGTCTTGGGCTGTTTGATGTCAGAGCCCAGACATGCTCATTCCACGATATCAGACTGCTTCTGTGGAATTAGATGAAGGGCATTCTCGTTTCTGCATAGCATTCACTTAGACGCTCATTTTGTGAGTGTCTGCAGAGAAACGCCAAGGAGATGGCCTGTCCACAGTGCTTGTGGACACTCCAAGGGCCTCGGTCATCTATATAACATCTGCCCTTAAAATTGTAGGTGTCCTTTGGTTTCTCATTTTGAACAGATTTTCCTCTTTGGCTCATGATCGACTACATATAGATACCCTGTGTCTGTATGACTAATGTAAACTGTGGGTTCCCCTCTAAGAAATGTGTACCCAAAATACACATTTAGAAGACAGCAGTTGGGGGTGAGATGCGGTGGTATACAGTGACCACATGTTGAGTTTTCTTCTCCTTAATGCAACAAATTGATGTTTAAGTTCCTTTGCATAACAAGCACATTTTATATATTATAAATTGAATTTTTGTTTACAAATTGTATTAAACCCATCTGTTAGATAATGTTGGAGAATGTTTGTTTGCCTATTTTACCAAGCCTGTTATCAGTGTGTGCCTCTTTAAAATGTGTTAGGGACCAAGGCTACAGAGATGAGACCTGAGGCCAGCTCTGTGATGGTGTGTCACTGGATGCTGATTTCCTCTTATACTGAAGCCACAGGGTGGGCTCCTAAGGAAATTTAAAAAGGCAGTCCTAATTGCTGGTTAAACTTTTCAGAATGTAGTGAATTGAAAACCGAAAGCAATGGCCTCAACCTTAAGGGTCCCAGTAGGTACTTCATTTTGTGAATATGCCAGTGTTGAGGTCTAGTGCTCTCCTCTCTTTCTTTCTTTTCTCTTGCTGTTTACTCATTTTTAAGGAAGTACAATCATTTCTTGGGTGCTTACTGTGTACCAGGCACTGTTCTTACTCTATACCAGCCTATTACTCTTCCCTGTACATTGCTAATAAGGAGACCAAGACCCAGTAACTTGGCCAAGGTCACATCATTCAGTTGCCTTTTATTGCAGTCTAGATATCTCAAATAATTTGTTAGAATACACAAAATTAAATGAGTTATTCAAGACATCTTAACTTTTTAAAGAGAAATTCTATTGTGCCTGTATATTTTTAAAAACTTAGAAATGTAGCTTACCTACTATACTTTCCTGATTATAAAATTAATGATACCTCACATTATAGAATATTTGGAAAATCAAGAAAAGCACAAAAGTAAATTTTAAAAATCTGTAGTTCTGCTGCCCTGAAAAACCAAATTGGATTTATACTTTACTTAAATTTAGTGTTTCATCCTGCTTATTTCACTAAGTATTCTATCATGAAGGCCTCCCTGTGTCATTAACTATTCTTCAAAAGCATTTTTTTTTTTTTTTAATGGCTGTGTTCTTTTATGTGCCTTAATTTATTTCATTCTTTTGTCTATTTTTTTGGATTTTTACGATTTTTTATTGATGATCATTTTAAGTATAGAGCTTTGCCTGTATTTTGAATCATGTCTGTAGGGTAGATTCTAAGGAATTACTGGTGAAAGGCTAAGAACATAGTGGTTCATAGTATCTATGACTGTGTTTCTTTGTAAAATGCCCTGAGCCGTCCTTCACACCACGATAACCAGGCCTGCCTGGGGCAGAGGAGAGCTCAGAGATTTGTAGAGTGAATGAACAAATGAGTGAAAAATACTGGATTGGTTTACATTTCCTGTCAGCATATGACAATGCCCATCTTTGAAATGCAGCTTCTTTTGAAATTCCACAGTATGCTTCGGAAGATGCAGAACTTCTCTTAGTTGGAAATAAGTTGGACTGTGAAACTGACAGAGAAATCACCAGACAGCAAGGTGAAAAGGTGAGAGAAATATGGGGAGCAGGAGAGAGAAGTCACAGTTCCCACACTTTGTACATTTAGCAGTTGGCACACCTTTTTCTTTTAACAAATTACTCATTTTTTTAAATTATGAAATAGTTGTGCAATTATCACTCAGTTACATCCCTCTCATATGTTTGCTTTTTTTTTTTTTTAACTTCTTCCTTAAATTCATTTTGAAATGGAAGGGAAAAACCACATTAGTGTATGCTGTATTATTATCTAACCTGACAGTTTATACAGAGACTTTTTTTTTTTAAAGCATAAAATTGTTTTCATGATTTTCTCTTACTCTAACGTATTTTAACCTTCCTCGGAGAATCAGTGATATTCACATTTTAAATGTCAGATACATTACAGTTTTAGAAATTTGGCCACGTAATTTGACTTGAAGGTCATAGTATCACCATTTTGTTGGTTATTTACTTATAATGTAGGAATTTGCCGCACTTATGAACTTGACAGTTAAGCATAAATGAGCTTTTACAAACCTTTAGCTCACCCCTTCCCTTCAAGCTGAAGCCCAGAGAGTATGATTCCCCCATCGGTGGCCTCATGCCCATACATCAGACTACATTGCACCCCACGCAGAGCAAAAACGACTCTTTCCCTTAGTTTGCACAGCAGATAACTGGGATGCGGTTCTGCGAAGCAAGTGCCAAGGACAACTTCAACGTGGATGAGATATTTCTGAAACTTGTTGATGACATTCTGAAAAAGGTAAAAAAAAAATACCTACATGAAAGTATTTCATCTGAAACTTACGATTTTTTGGTTGAGAATTTTTTATTTTGAAAGGAAAGTACAGGAGTTTTTCTCAGGCTTAGGAACCGGGTGAAGCTGTTACTCGGCCAGAGGCATCCAGGCTGCTATAGTGGCAGCTGCTTCCCATCCAGTGGTTTTCAGTGTCCTTGGTATTATGTCCAGTATATTTGCAGTTTGGTGGAGTGAGTGGAGCTGGTATAACAATGTGCTGTATTTATTTGACATTTGCTTTTCTTTTTTTCCTGCTTTCCTACAAGAATTAAGTTAGATACAGACAGAGATTAGTGGAATGTGCAGATATGTCAGCTGAGAAGCCCCTGGTCCTTGCCTCGCTTAGTGCTCTGCTCTCTTGCAGGGGCCTGATTCCATTGCCAGAGCCTTTCTGTGATGCTGAGTTCCAGTAAAATTGCTAGACAGCTTCACTGAGCAGCAGCAATTTCTTAGGCGTCTTTAGGCTTACATTCAAAGATTTTTTTTTAGTAAGAACTTTCTGTTATTACATTTTATCTGCTCAGTTCAGACATCATTCAGAGAGGTTATTTCTTTCTTCAGTAATGCTGTACCCCTGAGAATGCAGAACAGTGTTTTCATTTATTAATGCACTGAGTTTCCATTGTACTGGGTTATGAAAATACACATGTATGAGGTCCGTCTTGTCTCTTCCACCACAGGTGTAAAGGGAGCTGGGCAGTGTTTATGTTCTGCCATGATGCATCCTGAACCTGGTTTTTGGTTTTCGGCTTAATATTTGAATGTCTAATTAAATGTTGATGATTAGAGAGCTTTATATAAAAATACTTTGTTTATATGTAATGGTACAATTTGAAGAGCACTTACATACACATTGTATAGTTAAAATGTGTTTTTGTCTTTTGTTTATCCTGAAGATGCCCCTGGATATTTTAAGGAATGAGTTGTCCAATAGTATCCTCTCATTACAACCAGAACCTGAGATTCCACCAGAATTGCCTCCACCAAGACCACACGTCAGATGCTGTTGATTTGCTACTTTGGAGACAAAGTGGAAACGATTCCTAGAAAGGGGAAAATGTTCTATTCTGCACTACAATCATTTTGAAAATTTCCTTTCGCACTTTGTAATCCAAGTCAGAGCTATACACTAATTTGTAAATATGCAAATATGCAATCCTAGGTAAGTTTTGGTTATAAATTACATATATCCCTCCAAATTATTATATTTCATTCGTTATCCCAGTGTCTAGTGTACATACACTGGGAAATGTAGTACTTCTAATATGAAGAATGGGAGAAATGAAAGGTATAATGTTTCTTGAAATAAATAATATAATTGTCCTTGTTAATTATATTATGAGGACAGAAGATATTCTGATAAGAAGAAAGAATGTGGTGCTTTGCTTACTGTTTTAAAGAAAATTTGTAAAACTAAGGACTTTTTGAAGAAAGAAAAAAAAAGCTATCTTAAGTGCTTTTTCTTTACTTACAAGACATTTCCCCAGCTGTAGCATCTTTGAAGTATCGGAGTGTTTCTACCACAAAGCAAAGCTCCATTCATAGCCGTCACTGAAGGTTATTTATTAATGTTATATAATGGTAGAATATTACTAGTTAGAGGGTAGGATTTGACTTGGTCCTGAGACTGCAGTCTCTCTCATAGTTTCCAAATGGATATCCCTTAAGCTTTTAAGAACTACGAAGATCCAATAAAGAAAGAAAACGCTGCTGTCCTAACCAAATCCTGTTTAAAGGAATTTTAAAGAGACACATTTTACTATATCAAAGAACATACATGTATTTGCTTAAACATTCTATACCTTTGTAATGGTAAAACTTCTCCCCGTTATGATGAAGCTTATTCCTGTTAATCCTAGACTGTGTTCTTTTTTTTTTTTTTTTTTTTTTTTTTTTTTTTTTTTTTTTTTTTC